CTTCTTCAGAGCTCTTCCAAAACTCCCAGTTTCTTCCATTAGAGGTGAGCCTCCTCAGAGATACCGAAGCTGCTATTTTGGGTTTTTTCTCTTTCTTTGAAATTTGAGTTGTAGTTATACTACTCTGTTTTATTTGAGAGAGTTTCTACTTTATTTGTTTGTTATTTTATTTTCTTTACAAAATTTATTCTATTTGATGAGCTGAGTTTAAATAATAATCAATTTTATGTTGAGGGTGTCTTTCATTAGTTGTTTTCAGTGAAGTGTGAAGTTGAAAATCAGCTAGTTTAGTTGAAAATTGGGGCAATCTGGTCAAAGTTCTATGTTTCCATGTTACATGGAGGAAGGATTTGTTGAATTATGGTATTTGACTATAAGATTTTAAAGGATGTGAAAACTCAGATAAGCTAGCTAATGCAATATAAGATATCAAGTTCTGTAATGAAAGGGTGGGGTGGGGATGGGAGGCGCTAAGGAGAAGGCGGGGGTGCTAGGCTTTGGGGAAGAAAGCGGGGACGACTTGAGATAGGTTTTTTATTTTGATTTTGTAAATATTTAATAAATTAATATAATAATTTTTTTACAAAGTATTATGAAAGCTGTAAAAAAAAATTAATTTACTTTGATGAGGGAAATAGAGAACGTCCAAAAGAGAAGGTTGATAACATTTCCTTTCCAATTTTTCAGAGTAATAAAATATTTAAGAAATGTATTTTACTTTCCAATACACATTTAAACGGTCTCTTTTCTCTCTCCCTCTGGAATGTCCCATGTATGTCATCTTCTAAGCGTATGATATGACCAGTATGGGTCATGGCCCACATCATGTGGTATGTTGAAGATGTGTTCAATATACCGGCCTTGTAACACCGTATGATGTATACTTATCAATGTACCAAATAGTGTATCAAAATCTCTCCTGCCTCTCTTCTCCCCAATACTAGAAAATGTCCCAAATATTTGAATTCACCTCCACTTTTCAAAAGAAAAAGAAAAACAAACGCATGAGAAAATCATTGTGGTACTGGTGATTTTTTCTGTCATAGATATTGTTATAACCACTCCATGTTTTGCCCAGAATATTATTTTCGGCTAACAACAACGTGACCTTATACTAATATATTCAAGAATGTTGTTCAAGTACAAATACCGGTATACTTATAAAATCGACTATATATGTAAGTTTTGAAATTGTTGTTTCTAAAAGATTAAAAAATTACTCAATCACAAACTCATTGTAAACTTATCACAACCCCTTAAACTCCTTTCATTTTACTCATTGTAGACTACTGATGAGGCTTCTGTGTTTCTTCACGCCCTCGTCGCAAAAGAACGAGCCAGGTTGGAACATGATGCATTCTTGCTTTGTCTCCGCACTTGATGTATTGTCGTCACAGGCAGAGGCATTAGGGTTTGGGTTCCAATTCCATGGCGTCAAGAAGGAGTCATCAAACTTCAAGAAGGACGTGAGTCGCTTGCAGTCAATGGTTGGTTCATGATCATCATCAAGTGCCTCATCATCATCAGACTCCAAGAAGGATGTCAGGAACTTGAAGTCAATGGTTGGTTCAAGATCATCATCAAATTCTTGATCAGCTTCCACCAACGTATTTGCTGCTTCTTCTTCCATTGGATATCTGATGAAGTCACTGTGGTCTCGTTTGCTTGGAGAAAAAACTTGATGAAAAAGTTTCTATTTCTTGTTTCTCTTAGAGCTCTGGTGCGCTTGGTGTTTGAGTTTCTACCCTATTTTATAGAGATGTGGGGTAATTCCTAATTAAAAAAGGTATAGGATTTCTAGGGAGTCCAATCCGCATTGGGAGAGGAATTTTTATTACAAATATTTATTCTAAAGAAAAATGGAAACCCAATTCTTATCTTCTCTAACAACTTGTGTGTGTGCATAATTACGTGTACTAAATCCATTTTTATTTGTTAAGCTTCTAAATCCATTTTTACAAAATGGATAAATTCAAAAAATACTTTCTTTTTTTTTGCATAACAACTTCTCATTTCTTGTTCAATAATAATTTCAACGAGCCAGAAAATTGTTATCCTTGGTCTGCAAGTTACTGAACTAGACGCCGTTGACAAAACTATTATCTTTTATAGTGAAAATTCATATATTTAGTGTATAAGTATCAATTAAATACTTTATTTTCACAAGAAAACATGTTGGTTAAAAAGTGGTAAATTGCAAAGTACATGAAGTTGGAGTTCATGGGTCGTTTTTGTGATCTCCTTCCACAACCCCTTATTATAGCATTTCCACGATTTCCTGGCTTGGCGGTATAAATTCTCAGGCTTAGTATTTCCATATATTTGAATGACTAAAATTCTCTGTCCACATTCAAGTGGGCTTTCAGGCTTCTTTTGTGTTTATTGTAGTAATAGGCATTGTCTTATAACAATATCTTTTACATGGGTCCTCTATTGATAATATGAGACACAGAAATAAACATCGAGTCCCACACTTTCTAATACATATTATGTGTACATGTATATCATTTTGATGACAATACATCCGTCTCCAAATCCCTTTCGTTGGCACAAAAGATTCATCAGTCCCTAAAAAGCATAAACCTTATTTTTTTGAAAATATTTGATTGTCCCATATCGCTTTTGTTGTTTCAATATGTTTAAACATTGGTTTTCTTTAAACCATTCATCGGTTTCCTTTTTCCCATTCGGTTTGCAATTCATTGGTTTTTCGTTTTCTCAAAACCTGCTACTATCACAGGCAGGAGCACTAGGGTTCCAATTCCATGGTGTCAAGAATGAGTTGGGAGAGGCATTATTATTAAGAAAACAAGGAAACCCAATTTTTATTCCCAAAAAAAAAAAATTCTTGTATACACTCGATACCAATCAATCCCGCTCACCTAAGAACCTAAAAATGAGGTCTTGTGAGCAACTATTCAATACATACCCTTAGATAATCTAATGGCACAAATAACTAGTAGTTTAAACCCTTATTCATAGTGAAAGATAAAATCAAGTACAGAGAAAGAGATTTTAGAAAAGGGCACTGCAGAATTGGCAGTGGGTTCCTTTGAAAAGCCTGGTCTTGATACCAAGAACTTATGAATGAGAGAAAACTCGTTAAATAGTACCATTGGCTTACAAGATTCTTCAAATTCCAAGACTGCTCCAGGATATATGGATTTTGATGACAAAGTTCAGGTAATTAAAAATACAGCCAGGCAAGCGCGAGTAGTTTAGGGTATGCAACATCCTTTGGTTGACGGTGGGGGAGAAATACGGCTGGTAGGAAGGAAGAGGATCCGAATTGAACTCTGTATCCCATATTTATTTTAATTATTGCAGATTAAAATAGTTAAAATGATTGTTTCGGTAAAATAACGAGTATGACTAGGCACTTAGTTATTTGTGTCTTATTTTTAGGTCCTTAGGTGAGCGGAATAACGATACCAATATTCTATAAAGTATATTTTTACCCACGAATTCCACAACACAGAAATCAAAGTATATCAATAAAAGCAATTTTATAAAATCATATATATATATATATATATATGTAAGTTTTGAATCTTCTTTTAGGGAAAATAACAATTTTGATTAAAATTTAATCCTAATGCCCCGCTGTGATATTTAATCAATTCTGGCTTAAAATAATTGAAATCACCAGAACGAAATTGATATCAACCTCAAACTACAAGATTAAGAAAATACTCAATCAAACTCGTTGTAAACTTATCACAACCCCTTAAACTCCTTTCATTTTACTCATTGTAGTACTGATGATCTTGATCAAGCAAATAGCTCCGATGATCTTCATCAAGCAAATATCTTTGATGATCTTGAAGGCTTCTGTGTCTTCTTCACCGCCCTCCTCGTCACGAAAGAACGAACCAGGTTGGAACATGATGCATTCTTGCTTTGTCTCCACACTTGATGTATTGTCGTCACAGGCAGAGGCATCTGGGTTAGGGTTCCAATTCCATGGCGTCAAGAAGGAGTCATCAAACTTCAAGAAGGACGTGAGTCGCTTGTAGTCAATGGTTGGTTCATGATCATCATCAAGTGCCTCATCATCATCAGACTCCAAGAAGGATGTCAGGAACTTGAAGTCAATGGTTGGTTCAAGATCATCATCAAGTTCTTGATCAGCTTCCACCAACGTATTTGCTGCTTCTTCTTCCATTGGATATCTGATGAAGTCACTGTGGTCTCGTTTGCTTGGAGAAAAAACTTGATGAAAAAGTTTCTATTTCTTGTTTCTCTTAGAGCTCTGGTGCGCTTGGTGTTTGAGTTTCTACCCTATTTTATAGAGATGTGGGGTAATTCCTAATTAAAAAAGGTATAGGATTTCTAGGGAGTCCAATCCGTATTGGGAGAGGAATTTTTATTACAAATATTTTGTAACTGGTACAAATATTCATTCTAAAGAAAATAGGAAACCCAATTCTTATCTTCTCTAACAACTTGGGTGTGTGTGTGCATAAATTACGTGCACTAGTTTTTATTTGTTAAGTTTCTAATCCACTTTTACAATTTACAAAATGTATGAATTAAAAAAACACCTTTTTTTTTTTCTTGTATAACAACTTCTCATTCTTTGTTCAATAATAATTTCAACGAGCTAAAAAAACTGTATTTCTTGATTTACAAGTTAAAGTCATTTTTCATTGGACTAGACGCCATTGGTAAAACTATTCTGCTTTTTAGTGAAAATAGATACATGGAAATTTCTTTTTCTACAATAGAAGAAATTCTTACAAGGTTTGGATTTATGAGTTACGAGTGAACCATGCAGCTGTTTGTTAGATCGTGCAACGTGTCGAAGCAAGAGTGGTTACTTAGCTCCACCTAAGCACCACTGTTCTTGCCCGATAAAAGCGAAAAGACGAAAATACACTTCTATCAAGACAGTCTTCATAATAGACGGTTGGGATTCGTCCTAAATAACACGCCTGGACGGCTGTGATTAAAGTAACCGCGCCTTTTCTCGTATGCGGTTACACCCAATTAATTATTTTCCTCTCCCGAGAAAAGATCGAGTGCTCCTCAGACACCGTCTCCCCTCTCTCTCTCAACACACAGAAAAATTTCAATGTTCAATTTGGTCACCGGAGTTGCTTCGCCGGAAAATTGATCGGTCAGCAATCGACGATCGGCCTTCCGACTACCTGTACAGGTACGGATACTTTGTACCAAAATCTCATTTTTCATTTCTAGGTTATCGCATTTACTATCTCACGCCTTTCTGGGATAATTCGATTTGATTTTTCTGGTGAAGAAGAAATTTGTGATTCTTGTATGGATTTTATTGAAGTTCTTGCTTTTAATTGATGTAAAAAAAAATTCTTGCGTTTCTTAATTTTGTATTTTTAGACTTGTCTGTACATTGAACATCTCTATTTGTATGTGTGTATGTGCAGATGGAATTCATCACAGTCCCTTCGTACTGACACTCGTAAAGAAAGAATCTTTAAGGCCTCGACCGAAGAGTGAAAGTGAAATCAATTTACTGTGAAGTGGAAGAAGCAAAATGGTATGTTATAGAAGCCACTGACTATAATGTGTTCTCTTTTTTTTTTTTTTATAGCTTATGAAGTTTTTATTTATTTAGTTTTTTGGGATATCCTATATGTGGTTAAATTTTCAGTTGTTTGTGGTTATTCTTTTAGTACTGTCAAAATTCTGAAATGATTGGATAGTCCAACGTTGAAGACTAAAGCTTATGTTGAGTTGTTGAATTTTCTCGTGATTTGAATTTTTAAACAAGATTGTGGAAAAGTTTTCTTTTAATTTTTGAATTGTCTTGAACCTTAGACATCTGTACATGTTTAAATATACTATGGATACGGTTTTCAAGGATTTTCTGAGTGTTTGTTACTGGCAGTCTTTCCAGAACAAGGGATTTTGGATGCCAAAGGGTGCTGGACATGTTAATGATGGAGATGCAACTTACGGCAACCCTTC